TTGCCTGCACTTAAACTCTGATTTTCTAATATATCTTTGTAATCCATTATGTCGTAGACCTTAGATATTTCGTACTGAATTTTGTTGCATCAAATAGTCAAGTGTTTGAAATATCGAATGCGTTCATCAAGTTGCAAAGATATAGAGATTACATATGAGTTTGTGGGAAAGAAAATTTTTTAAAACATATTTGAAATTGGTACAAAGAGATAAAAGTCGGTCGGTTTTTGCACAAGTGCTAATCAGATGAAAGATAAAAGATAAAATGATTTTTCTGCTATTTAATGGTTATTATTCTGCAATCGTATAAGTCAAATACAGGGTGTTCCAATAAATTTGGAAATTCAGTAACGACTTTATATCGTCTTCGATCCATGCGGCATTTTTTCATTAACACATTTATTGCAGTATTCATGCTTAAACATATAATAACGTTGTAGAAATTACGCGAAATTACGCCGTATTTTCGCGAAATTGAAGTTTCGCCAATTACGCGAAATCCTGCGAAATTACACGAAATGAAAATTATTTCGCGTAACTGCACGTAATTTCGCGTAAGTGAATAATCTATTACGTTGGAAACCCTAAAATATTCTAAATATTTCTAAATATTCTAAATATTTCTAAATATTTCTAAAGCTAGAAAATCTTAATGTAAAAGAAAAAGCAACAAAAAAAAGATGAAGATGAAGTACAAATGTACGAATTGTAAAAAAGCAATTGTAAAATTAGTTAGAATTACTCCTGACAAAATATATACTTGACTGAACAAACGTGAGTAATTAGAGCGACGTGGAGTCCCCCCCNCTTGTATCTTGTATCTTGTATCTTGTATCTTGTATCTTGTATCTTGTATCTTGTATCTTGTATCTTGTATCTTGTATCTTGTATCTTGTATCTTGTATCTTGTATCTTGTATCTTGTATCTTGTATCTTGTATCTTGTATCTTGTATCTTGTATCTTGTATCTTGTATCTTGTATCTTGTATCTTGTATCTTGTATCTTGTATCTTGTATCTTGTATCTTGTATCTTGTATCTTGTATCTTGTATCTTGTATCTTGTATCTTGTATCTTGTATCTTGTATCTTGTATCTTGTATCTTTTATCTTGTATCTTTGATCTTGTATCCCGTCAGGACTAGTGGGGAAAAATTTACGCTAGATTGTGACGTGTCTGTTTTGCTTAATCAACTACGCTAATCATCCCTGTTATTAGATGCAGTACGTGGAAAAGGGATATGGGTCATTCAATGCCTGATCACCACACTTTGTGGTCAATGTCTTCAATTTTGATCAAAATTTTAAGATATCTTTTTTAGGATATATATATAAATAGGGGATAGCATTATTTTTGATTTTTGACCACTTAAAAGGTCTTATAAAAAAAATTTCGAGTTTTGAAATTTGTAAAATTCATGAATTTTAACGTTCACAAAGAGATAGTTATATCTTGGAAAGTTTTGGAGCTATAAAAAATCTTTGATATCAATTTAAAAACCTTTGAAAATTGTATTTTTATATTTTTGGTTAAATATTGTGATTCGTACTTTTAAAATCTGATAAACAGAGCGTCAAAGAAAGAGGGGAGTTTTTTTATATTTTTTGGAAAAACGGCCAAAAAATTAAAAACTTAAAATATCTTCATTATATTGATATGAAAAACATATTATAACATCCCATTGACATTTGGACAATAAGTGGCTAAAAAGCCTGATTTTCTGGGAACACCCTGTATTTTCATCCTTTTTTCTCTTTTTTCGATTACTTTGTCATGAAAATTGAGATAGAAGGCTGAAATATTGCACAAAGGTCAAAAATAAAAAAATAAAATATTGTATCTGTATCTGTATCTGTATCTATATCTGTATCTGTATCTGTATCTGTATCTGTATCTGTATCTGTATCTGGATCTGGATCTGGATCTGGATCTGGACCTGGATCTGTATCTGTATCTGTATCTGTATTTGTATCTGTATCTGTATCTGGATCTGGATCTGGATCTGGATCTGGATCTGGATCAGGATCTGGATCTGGATCTGGATCTGGATCTGTATCTGTATCTGTATCTGTATCTGTATCTGTATCTGTATCTGTATCTGTATCTGTTCTGTATCTATATGTGTATCTGTATCTGCATCTGTATTTGTATCTGTATCTGAATCTGTATCTGTATCTGTATCTGTATCTGTATCTGTATCTGTATTTGTATTTGTATCTGTATCTGTATCTGTATTTGTATCTGTATCTGAATCTGTATCTGTATCTGTATCTGGATCTGGATCTGGATCTGGATCTGGATCTGTATCTGTATCTGCAATCTATGAAATCCCATGAAGGGGTTCCTGAGTTATGATCGAAAAAAAACAAAAAAAAACAGAGATTTATACTTTATATTAATAATAATCAAAAAAATCCCTTTCTTGCATCCAGCTAAAAAATTTCATTTCATTTGATTTCCCTGAATTGAATATTTAAGTCCATAACCAGCCTGAAAGCTATAAATATGTTTTATATCCCATTCAAAACATTAATATAAATCATTCAAATGTCATACAGAGTTTAAGAACTAAGCATATTTCTTAACTATAAAAATCAAGAAAGTATTTTTAAACCTGGAATAATCAAGGTTTGCAGGCAATAGTCAGATAATTTGATTTATTACAAAGAAGAAAACAAAGGAACAAATAGAGTATGATTTATAATGTTAAAACACATTCAACTTATGATATATATCTATATATAAGTTTAGCTTGTCTGGGGGTCTGTTCGTATCCAATAAACGTCAACACAGCTGAACCGATCAGGCCCAAATTTTGTGTGGGACCTCACGTGGCCCCAGGAAAGGTTCATTAATGATCAAAATTCCAAATATTTGTCTCCATCAAAATTCGATTTTCATTAAATTTTTAAAAATCTTTATATAAATTTAGCTTGTCATGTCTGTCTGTTTGTTTGTATCCAATAAACGTCAACACGGCTGAACCGATCAGGCCCAATTTTTTGTGGGACCTCACGTGGCCCCAGGGAAGGTTTATTCATGATCAAAATTTCAAATATTTGTCTCCATCAAAATTCGATTTTCACTAAATTTTTTAAAATCTTTATATAAATTTAGCTTGTCTGTCTGTCTGTTTGTGTGTGTCCAATAAACGTCAAAACGGCTGAACCGATCGGGCCTAAACGTTGTGTGGGACCTCACGTGACCCTAGGGAAGGTTTATGAATGATCAAAATGTTAAAAAATTGTATTTAAAAGTTTATTATTTTTTATTATAGAGAATAAATAATAAAAATAATATTTAAATTTATCTGAATTATAGATTTAGATATATTGTTTTATCATGTTGTTATCGTATGTAGGCCTTTACAGTTTTATAATATTAAGCATTACAGTTTTACAAGTTTAACCATTCAAGGTTTACAGGTTAATCATGCTTATTGTTTACTAAATATAAGGTTTTAACACGTTTTAATTTATATTGTTTTTTTTTACAATGGATGAGCTATAGTATAACATTTAAAAACCTTTAACTCCCATTCAATGTTTATACTTTCATTGACTAATCTTATTTTTAACTTCTGTTTTAAATTCCCTAAATGTTATGTTAAAGTCAGCTTAATGCCAAAAAATGGCATTCGGAGTGAAGTTTAGTAAAAGGCCGAAATAATAGAAATGTACGAAATGTATATACTCTCTGTTTCCTAATATTAATTTTTCCCTGCAGCTATTAAATTGTTTCTTTTTCTGCGAAATCATAAATGATGACTTTAAAGACTAAATTCAAGGCAAAAGTCTCAATTTAACCTTTAACGGAATATTTGAAGAGTTTATGTCGTCTTTACAGTCTCATCCTTTATGGGTAACCCTGTATTAGCATCAACACCGAATTTTAAATTTGACAGATGATAGTCTGGCTCTGTGAACTTTAGCAGTAGAATTATAGAATGAACAATCACAAAATATCCCTAGTCTTGATATTTCCAAAATGTGGTCTGCCCTTTCAATATTACCGGAGATATGAAGAATTTCATTGAGACTTCAACATTTATGGCTTTATTCAATAAAATTGAAATCTGAACGAAATTTCGGTAATAATGATAGCACAAAAAAGGCAGACCACATTTTGGAAATGGCAAAACTAGAAAAAAATTTTGGTTATATTTGTTAAAGCATTCAAAAGTTCTCAAAGACAAAATTTTAGGTTTTGATGGTACTGATATTAGTTTCATGATTATCACTATTATTTTTAAACAGTTTAGTATATTATCATAATTATTATTATTATCATTATTACTATAATTATTATATATTTGTATAATTTTGTTTATAATTACTTTTACGATAATACCGTTATATTTGCACATCTTTTTATATTCTATCCATATCATCGAATACATTGTTGTTTTAAATTTGTTCTTCATTTTTAAACTGTTAGGATTGACCAGAGAGGGGGTATTTATCCCCCTGGACTAGTGAAAATACTCATTTCCAGGGGGATTTGTCAGCACCTAACGCCATACAGGAGCTGCGCCCCCCCCCCCAGGGACGAATCTCTGGGAATGCCCAGCTGGCAAGTGGCTACTCTCAGGGGCGTACGAGGGTGGGGGAGGGACCCCCGGCCCCCCCTACGTATACTCTCCTGAGGGGGGGGCACCCATATAAAAGATACTTTAAAATCTCAAGTGTCGTTAAAAAAGCTTTAGTCAATACTGCCTTCAGTGTATCTTTGATATAATTATTTATAATTAAACAAGATGTATCATTTCTATGAAAATATAGATATTTTTAAAGAAATGTTTCCATCGCTTTTCTATACCCATTGAAGCTTACTCCACAGTATTAAGAGGAACTGTCTGATGAGTCTACAGTCAGGGGCGTATTTTACTACTTGTATTTTATTTTTTAATCTCTCTTTAGGCCCATAGATGACACTAGTATCAAACTAGAAATGAAAAAGATGTCGCTAGTTGCTCCTCTACTGCGCATGCGCTAAACTTATTTTCCGTCTGTTTTCCTTGTTCCAGAGTAAATATCGAGCCTCTAAGAGAGAATTAGAGAGAGAAATCTGAGCAACGCGATCTACAGGATCTACAGGCATTCTAAGATACTTTAATAGTAGGTAGTTTTTTAATTAAATATAGGCTTTATTCTTTAGGTTTCATGTCAGCTATGTTTTTAAAGAGTAGAGACGTTTCAATTATTATAATAAAAACAATAAATGTTTTGCAAAAACTTTCCAGGGCTATTAAATTAGTTGTAAAACCAAAATCTCAAAGTGATCTGGTCTGTTAGGGGGGGGGGGTCCAAAAACGAATTAAGTTAAAAACTATTAGAGCTAAACTTGTGGGTCTGTCCCTCCCCCCCCCCCCTCCTATCAATTTTGTACATGACCCAATGTCAATTTTTTTCAATAACTAGGTTAGGAAGATTTTTAGTCGAGCGCTGCGGCTAGGAAAGGCTAGGCGACCGAGCGCTGCGGCCAGGACAGACCTTCAATTTCAATAAAATTAGTATATATTTAGGGTTAGGTTAGGTAAAGATACTTTTTGGGCCCGAGCGCTGCGCTAGGACAGGCTAGGGGTCGAGCGCTGTGGCTAGGACAGGCTAGGGGCCGAGCGCCACGGCTAGGACAGGCTAGGGGTGGGGCGCTGCGGCCATGTAACCAACTTTTTCCATATGATAAATATGAGATGCAAGGAAATTACCTTCACTTAATTAAGGTCACAGAAAGTTTAATTGTGCACATGCATTTTTATCATTTAAATCAATATGTGTTATAGTTTAGCTTGACCTAACCTATAAGAGCTCGGCCCCCTTTCCTGTTCTAGCCACAGCGCTCGGCCCGGAAACATATATAAATCTAATCTTACCCTGTTAAGTAATAAAATAAATCATTAATGGGGGTGGTCCAATAAGTGTTCTTGAGAGAGAAAACAGTGGCCGAATTTAAAGAATTTGAGCCGGGGCTTTAATTTGGTTGGTTTCACTTAATATTGTATTCAATGTTTTAAGATTTAAGCCGGCGCTCAATTGAAACTGGTTTTTTTTTGCGGATTTGAGACAGTCTAATATTTTCTCTTAACCTTTGAAATTAAGAAGTAATTTTTTCATGGGTGATTAAGTCGCGATTGTTTTTTTTTGGGGGGGGTCGGGTAAAACTATCAAAAAAAAAAAGTTTTATGACGCGCTTTCTGTGTTCAATTAAACGTCAATTCCTTTATTGTAATTATTTAATTATTTCAGAAAGAACAGATCTCTAATGTCCGCTACAGTCGATCCTCTAGATGAGCTCCTCAACAACCTGGAGACTTTGAAGGTTGGACAAGAGAACAAGTTGGAGGTCGGAGGGAAGGAGGAGGAGAAGGAGGATGATGGATATAATAGTTCATCCTCAACAGAGAATCTTGCTGTTAATGAAAGTAAGGGAAAGGTTACGAAGAAGAATGAGGATGAGGAGAAGGTTAAGGATGAAAGTGATGTGAAGGTTAAGAATGAAGAGAAGGTCAAGGATGAGGATGAGGATGAGGATGAGGATGATGAAAAGATCCTGGAGCCCCTGGTTATCCTCGGAGAGAAGAGTGGAGGCCCCGAGGTTGAATTTATCTCCCGAGGTCCCGTATCTATTGATACCCCGGATAACAGGTTCCAACCCTACTCCCGTCCTGACCAAAATCAGGGAGTAATTCAGTCCACGGGGAAACAGGACGAGGACAAACACCAGCCTATACCCAACGTCCTGATCTACACGAAGAAGGACCGGGAGCGTCCTACCAAGATTGATGTTCGGATCGAATGGTCGGATAAGCATGAGTTGTGTATCCAGAGATATCAGCTACCGGAGGAAACATGTTTCACTGAAGGAGCAAATACTATCCAGCTCTTTATCCAGCTTAATCCTAATCTCAAGGAAACTAAATCATTTCTGGCAGATGTTAAGGTAGGCATTTTGGAAATAAAGTTAACAAAAATTTACAACAGTAAGTAACCCTATCGATAACTAGGAAGATATTGTCATTTTCTAGTATTACAAGAGTTTCATTTCGACATCATTCACTACTTGTCAAAGCTTTAAAGAGTACCGTTGTGAATCAAATTTGTCATTATTTTAAGTTTTCAACAGTGACCTTCTACACAATNTATTAATAATTTGACAATGGACATGCCATTCTATTAATAATTTGACAATGGACATGCCATTCTATTAATAATTTGACAATGGACATGCCATTCTATTAATAATTTGACAATGGACATGCCATTCTATTAATAATTACTTCTACATTCCCTTTAAACAAATAAAATAAATAAACATTTTTGACAAACCATAAACTAGAATAAAACTATCAAGCCTTGTGATCCAGGTTATGAATGATGAGAGCGGTCAGCGGGCCTTCTATATCGGTCCCATCGTCATCTCCTTGAAGACGGACTTGGCGGAATCCCAGGAGCGGGCCCTCCTGGCGCAGATCAGCGAGGAGGAGCGGGCCTCCGCCATGAACCTGGTGGCGGAGAAGGATATTCACCAGCTGGTGTCCGGGATTGGACCACAGAAGGATACCGTTCTTGCAATCCTTAGTGCACAAAGGAAATCTCCAAATCCAGGTACAAATACTTCATTTTTATTTCTTCTCATTCAAATATTGTTGATAATGTAACTAATCTAAGTTTCTAAATGTGTTCAACTGTTTTCCCACTAAATGTAGGAAAATATATTAGTTGGATTAACGAATGTAATCAATTTTCAGGACAAGTGATGGCACAAATACACGCCGTGGTTCAGCGGCTCCTCCGTCACAAGGATGACAAGGTCCGTCTATCTGTCTTCAAACTCAACAACAATGGCATCTCCGCTTTCGAAATCGCCGCTATTATGAACAACAGCTTCGTGGCCTGCTATCTAGCAGAGGTTATGTACAATCTCATCGACGATACAAGGACAGCGCTGAAGATCTTGAACAGCAAGGACACCCACGGTAATACGATCATCCACCTTCTCTCAAGGAAGGGAGATTCCAATGCCGTTACACTGAAGAAACTACTCGCAATGCGTCTCACGGACAATACACGTGTGTTCAGCGTTGGGTTCAACTCTAAGAAGCAGCAGCCGATGCATATTGTAGCGCAGAGTAAGAGTAACCAACCGGAAACAATTGCTATCCTTCATCAGGCTTTTAACAGGTCCTTCGACTCCCAGGATGATGACGGCATGACTCCTCTCCACTACGCCTGTCAGAGGACAGGAGACTCGGCTATGGTGCAGACCATCCTGTCCTACAAGAAGGACAACATCAATGCACCGCGAAAGGACGGTTTGACCGCGCTTGACCTTGTCACCTTACGTCCGACTAGCAGCTGCGAAGGTCAGGGGGTCTTCGAAATAGAGTACGGAGTTCAGCTGGAGATAATCAAGTTGCTGAAAAACAACGGAGGGAAATCTAGTTTCCCCGAACCCAATTCCCCCACCAACTCTCCCAACAACATCTCCATGATGAACATGGCGAGCCCTCACAGCACCGTCTCCCCCCTGGGCTCCCCCTACGACTCCTCGGCAAACGCCAGTCCGCGAACCCTACCAGACGACTGTCCCGGGAACTACTACGTAAATCTACGTGGTCCTGGCAGCGTAGAGTCGTATATCCAATCCAGTCCTGAGTCTGATCATGGTGAACTGCAGACCAACAGGACAAGGAACTACAGCTATATGCCGAGGATGGTGGATAGCCCTGCTTCACAGGTAGATGGGGATACAGAGCACCAAATCTGTAGACGCACTGTTTTAGTTTCTTATTTTTAGTTATCATGAAAATAACAAAATTTAGAGTAAACGATTTTTGGTAATTTAAGCATAGGTTAAAGAGACTGTAGACGTAATTTCATATGATCCTACATTAAAAAAAAACGGTATGCCCGGTTCACAACGGTACCCTTTAATTCAAAAGCAGAAATGTCATTTATAAGTTCTCATTGGTTTGCTATCTAAAAATTATAATTTTGAATTGGCGGTATGTCTATAAAAGGGTAATGCGGATATATATAAAAATTTAAGCTTTTATTGGGTTTGGGTGAAGAAAAATGAAGAGAAAAGGGGGAGAGGGAATGGAAAAGGGGAAAAGGGGAGGACGGGCAAGAGGGAAGGGAAAAAACCACACACAAAAAACAGTATCAGAAATGCTTTTAAAAAATCTCAGAGGTGACCTTGAAGCTGACCTTTTTAGGGCATGAAAACGCTTTATTATACTTTTTTAACCCCAAAATTTCTCTGTAAGAGGAGTCTGCCCCCCCCCCATTGCAGCCCCCCCCCGCTTCTTCGAATTTTGCTTAGGATTCTTAAACCTGCTGGGAACAAGTAAATAAATTGTCAGAATTGAACACTCATTGTTACTTAGATTAAGATTTAATTGGTAACGTTCAAACGTTGTAAATTTGACAATGGACATGCCATTCTATTAATAATTTGACAATGGACATGCCATTCTATTAATAATTTGACAATGGACATGCCATTCTATTAATAATTTGACAATGGACATGCCATTCTATTAATAATTTGACAATGGACATGCCATTCTATTAATAATTTGACAATGGACATGCCATTCTATTAATAATTTGACAATGGACATGCCATTCTATTAATAATTTGACAATGGACATGCCATTCTATTAATAATTTGACAATGGACATGCCATTCTATTAATAATTTGACAATGGACATGCCATTCTATTAATAATTTGACAATGGACATGCCATTCTATTAATAATTTGACAATGGACATGCCATTCTATTAATAATTTGACAATGGACATGCCATTCTATTAATAATTTGACAATGGACATGCCATTCTATTAATAATTTGACAATGGACATGCCATTCTATTAATAATTTGACAATGGACATGCCATTCTNGGTATTTTTTAACAATTTGGGTAAATATTTAACATATTTTCTTTATAAAAAAAATCTAAAACTATGAGAATAAATTTTGGGTTTCTTGGGTTGTACGAGGAGACCAATATATTTGTGGAATCTGAAGACTACTTTTAGACTCATGTTGTGATTATCCCAATCAACATAAAATACAGAGCTATTTCTCTTTATAGATTAATTTACAAACTACTGGTAAGACTATTTTCTTTAGAAAAATATTTTTAACAAAACATATAATTGCTAAAATTTCATATTTCAGAGTTCCGTTTCAGATTTAAACTTGATTTGATGGTCCCCACTGTACTTGATTTAAGAACATTTTTAACGTATTATGATCAAACCATTTTAGGGTTGGTTAAACTATTTAAATAAAATCTACATCGTTTTCTTAAATGACTTTTATTATGTATAAAATGATAAAATGATTTGGTACATACAAAGAAACATCAATATTAATAATTTATATTCGAGAGCTGAGCCTCTGCTCTAAATATTAATAAATAATTGCTTTCTTTATAAATATATTCCTTGTAATTCTGGTTTTTAGAATTAATAATTATTATTGCAATGTTGACAAAATTAAAAAATTATGGACTTAAGAGAAATGTTGCTTTGTAATTTGTAATTGTTTTAACTGATACATTTCTAAAACTGATTACGTCACATTTTTAGATTTAAATTCTTGGTGATATTTTAAATAAAAGAAAAAATGTTACAATGACTCCACTGATGTCTAGTTCTAGTAATCCAAAATATTTATATTTGCAGGATTCCAACGGATACTACAACATGGACAGCCCTGTAGGGAACGGTACTACCCTGGAGGAACATCTTGCTTCACAGATATTCAATGAGTTCCCTGAGATCAGGAACGTGTTGGGACAAATACTCGACGGGAATCTGTAAATCAATCCTCCAGGAACATCCTAAAGGTAGATAATAATCAGAACAGTGAGGATAAACTTTTGACTGGGATAGCGCTTATCAACTGATCAACTTTTAATTTGGATTTTAATAAATTTCGGAGAATTTAGAAAAGAATAACGGTTCGATGAAAGATGTGTTTGGCAATTTAAATTGATTCAGAATGAGAAATAAGATCCAACTGAGCCCGTTATCAACAGATTTTAAAATATAACAGTTTTAAGGTGGTATAAGTACGGTATACAAGAAATGAATGGTGGATATCGAGATCAAAGCTTGATCTCCACTTTTAATAAATCTCCAGATTAAATATTTTATGTTCTCCTCTTGTTATTAATCTCCAGATTGATTAACAGATCGGGAGTAAGGATATTCCACCCATTCTAAAGTTTTCAGCTAGGATTACTCAGTTCATATAAAGAATGAAATTTCAGACACGACTGTTTAGAATTTATAAAAAAAAAATGGTTACGTTGTAAACTTTTTTTCTTTTAACTTTTAAACTCCTGTTCAGGCTGACGTCTGGTTTACCCAAAATAGTCCGGGTAAATTTCCTTATTGTTGTATAAATCTATAACATTTGATACTTTTGCAAAATTTCAAATATTTTATTTGCCAGTAACCAACCCCTGTTCTATCATTTAATTCTTAGTCTAAAATGTTGTTTCTATTGTTTCTATTCTTATTAATTTTAAGATTTTAAATTCTCTTTTCTTTAAAGTGTTTCATCTCATCCTAAACTAACCAATAATAAAGGGTGTCTCAAAAAAAGACTTAAATTGTGACACCCTGTAAAACGAGGTGCAAAATAATACATCTATATATAAGTTTAGCTTGTCTGTCTGTTTGTTTTTATCCAATAGACGTCAAAACGTCTGAACCAATGGGGCCCAAATTTTAATGGGACCTCACGTGACCCCAGGGAAGGTTTATGAATGAAAATTTTGAAAATGCGCGAAAAAATATTATGAAATCCTTAAACTTTTTTTCGTTTTTGTTTTATACTATACAAAGAGAAGATGCTCACAGATAAAGCCACAATAAAAAGTTGAAATAGAAGATGGTAAAAGCCTAGTCTATATGTATATATTTAGCTTGTCTGCCTGTCTGTTTGTATACAATGAACGTCAAAACGGCTGAACCTATCGGCCCAAAAATGTGTGTGGTACCTCACGTGACCCAGGAAAGGTTTATGAATGATCATAACTTCAAAAAGTTGTGATTAAAAGTTTTTTATTTTTGTAAAATTTTGAAAATGCGAGAAGTTTAGACTTGTAAACTGCTTAGAAGGCACGTTTTTATGTTTTTTTTTGGAAATAACGCTTTTTTGTGTGTTGTCTTGTGGTTTATAAGTTGGTTAAAAATAAGAAATTTACAATATGATAAATTAAGTTTTGATGGGGGGGGGGGGGGGGGGGGTTGAAAAATTGGATCTCAAAAAACAAGGTTTTACAGTTAACACCCATTTTAATAAAAAATAATTTTCTAAAAAATGTACTCCTTCAATTAATCCTTTCTAACCTTAAGAAAAAATTTATTAAATAAATTTACATTTCAGGATCTGTTTCAAGACGACCTCCGATCTTTTTAAAGCCGACCTCAGGATCCTCACAGTTGACCTCGAGTTCGTACAGGAGAACCTTGTTGGTCCTTGTTGGCTGAATTGAGCTGAACACTTTAGAATTGGATACCCTTAATACCGATCCCTCGATCTGAATATCCACTGTGGACACTTAAGATTTCTGCTCAATCCGCTCTTTCTCTCTCTTTTTGGATATCACTACTTTGTTCCGACCAATGAGAGTTCTCTCGATGTTTGCGCGCCAAAATTTCAAAATCTTTCGGCTTCTAATTGGCTGTTCGGGTTTCTTCAAATGCCCCTCTGGTTGGTCGAATTTTAAACCCTTTTCTGGATACAAACTTAAGTTTAATCCAATCTTGAGATTAAAAAATATGTGATTAAGCATTGATCTCGATATCCACAACTCTAAAGTTTTCAGCTTTGGGCTCATAATTCAGTGGAATAATATCAAAATTTAGTCCACGACAATTTTTGAAAGCTCAAAACAAATTAGCAACTTATATTTTCAAACATGTTGTCCAAAAAATCAAAGATGTTTTTGTTGATTCAAAATATTTAATCATGTTCATCACTCAATGTTCTGGCCAAGACTAGTGAAAAAAGTGCACAAGTTTATTTTTTAAAACAAAATTTTATTTTTAACTGTAGAAATTTCATTTTATTCGTCTATCAATATTATGTTGTAACCAGAACTGTTCTGATTAGGCGTGGCGTTGTGCATACAAAAATTAGAGCAAAAATGTTCAAGAAAAGAATTTTGACATAAAATTGGAATTAAAAATTTAAAATCTACACAGTAAACATCTATTCTATTTTGCTTAAATTATATTAAAACTTTTCAAATATTTTTCGTAGTAATTATACAAATTTGTCCAATATACAATAGTACGCATTTTTCTAACATTTTCGGTTTATAAAATCTAGTCTTAAGTTTTTATTGTACCATTATTATCAACTAATTACAGGGGTGGATATTTTTTAGAGAGGGGGTTGGTTCTTCCTCCCCCCCCCCCTGCATGCTCCAGAGTGAGATGAATTTTGACCCCGTGTTATTGTTAACAAAGTTCTCTACAATAAATCTATCTATATACTATATAAATATGTATTAACTATGAAGATTGGAATAAAAATATTTACTCGAAGTTATTTAGATTTTTATTCTATAACAGTACAGGGTACAGTACAGTACAGGGTACCCACAGGATTATATTTTCCAATTATATTTCAGGCAGAAGACATGAAAAATTAGAATATTTAATGAGAATTAAGTCCAGGGGGGGGGGGCATTCGCCCCTCCCCCCATGAATTTGGAATTTTTTGTTCCTATTTTCAGAATAGCTTCTCAATAGCATGCTTAAGGGAAAGAAATCCTAGTGCAAAACAGGAAGAATATCTGTCTTAATAAACTATAATGTGTGAAAAGTTATTAATCTAGTTTTTTTTGTCTTTATTCATTAATTTTGACTCTTTTTAGAGTCTTTTAAGTCAAAAAAAAATTTCCCCTGCGGCACGATTTTTTGTTCCTAATTATGAATTTTTTTGTTCCTAAGGCCCCCCCTCACTTAAATCCTGTATCCGCCCCTGGATTCACCTTTCAAGTGACTTCTATCCTTCTACAGTGGCACCTGTCAAGTTGGTAGAGTTGGTAACCCTGTATATGTTGGTAGAGTTGGTAACCCTGTATATATTGGTAGAGTTGGTAACCCTGTATATGTTGGTACAGTTGGTAATCCTGTATATTTTGGTTGAGTTGGTAACCCTGTATATGTTGGTAGAGTTGGTAACCCTGTATATGTTGGAAAATACCTAATTATCGAGACTAATTTTAATATACCAACGTTTGAGTGAAAAACGTCAAAGAACCCCAAAATTCTATTGTTGGGCAAAGGTTAAAATCAGGTATGGTAGGCAAAAAGTGAGCTTACCAAGTTACCATGCATCTGAAAAAGAGATTTGTTCCTCCTATAAAGTAAGTTTTAAAAAATTATTGCCGATTCGCACCATTTTAAACTTACGCCCCCCACCCCTATTCTTTCTCTTAACTACAAATTACATGTTAAACAATTGTATATTATTAGCTATACAGGGTGGCCCACAAAACATGACAGTTGCGTGATATTATAGTTTAAAATGCCTTCTTCCATAATTTGATTTAAGTTTTTTGATACTATAAAGAGACTAATAACATATTTTAAATGACAGTTGTATTCTAGTAAAATTGATTTTACATGAGTTAAACATTAAATTTAAAGAAATAAAATGCAAAAAGTCTGGTAATTTACATCGTCTATACGCAACATCTCCCCCTAGCCCGTCCTATCCTCAGTGCTCGGCCCAGAATTGAGCTTAACCTAACCTAACCCTAAACTAATACGTTTTAAATAACTTAAATCATTTGGTAATTTCCTAGGGAACGATTTTTGCTGCTTTTTTACATGACTTTTTCAACAATTTTCAATTAAATGTAAGACATGTGGCCGCAGTGCTCGGCCCCCTAGCTTGTCCTAGCCGCAGCGCTCGGCCCAGAAAGTGTCATATATCTTAATCTAACCCATGGCCGCAGTGCTCGGCCCCCTGGCCTGTCCTAGCCGCAGCGCTCGGCCCAGAAAGTGTCTTAACCTAACCCTAAATAAGTACTAATTTAATGAAAATTGTTGTTTTTATGTTTATTTTATATTTAAACATTTAAAAAAAATATTACTCATCAACCTCTGAAATAAAAATATTACTCAACCAACCAAAAAAATATTGCTCATCCAACCTAAAAATATTAATGCTCATCCAACCTAAAAATATTGCTCAACCGACCTAAAAATATTGCTCCACTGACCTAATAAAATTGCTCAACCGACCTAATAAAATTTCTCAACTGACCTAAAAATATTGCTCATCCGTCCTTAAAATATTGCTCATCCGACCTAAGAATATTGCTCATCCGACCTAAAAATACTGCTTAACCGACCTAAAAATATTGCTCAACCGACCTAAAAATATTGCTCATATCCGACCTAAAACTATTGCTTAACAGACCTAAAAATATTGCTCATCCAATCTAAAAATATTGCTAATCCGACCTAAAAATATTGCTCAACCGACCTAAAGATATTGCTCAACTGACCTAATAAAATTTGAAAAACGTTAGGTCAGAAAAACGTTAGGTTCGTTTCCTCTAGGTTCGATGAGCGGGTACCACCATATTTGAAAAGTTTCCTTTCGTCTTTGCAGTTTCATTCTTTGTGGGTCACGCTGTATCTATTATCTGGAACATTACTTGATTACGCGGCATAGATCGTAATCAGCGCACAACAGGTTATAATTCAGTAAACTTAAAACGAACACGACTATTAAAATAAATTATTTCGTATTTTATACAAAAAATATATTATTCACAATTTTAGCAGTTAAAGAAATTTTAAATTGAATGATGATTATTACAATTTAGGTTAACATCTTTTCTTTTAAATCCTAGATTGTCTTTTGAACCCGTTTAAATCCGTTCAGTTCCGTTCTACTTATTCAAATCCGATGGCTTGCGTTTCTAATTCTATCTGCTTAATCTCTCGTAGACAACAGTAGTCGTAGGTTCGAATCAGTCTTAGTTAGCATACAAAGCCATATACTTAGTTCCTTGACCATCCCCTTGGGGCCGGGCTTGCCCCGAGGTTAATTGAAATCTTTCCAACGTGATGTCTGTTCTATACATAATTATTTTGGGACAAACTTTGGTTAGTTTAGATATTTAGATCAAGCTTGGTGTGCTTGTTACGGTTGTGGGGGTTGGGGTCTGTCCTAGAGAACGATTTTTGGACCCCCCCCCTCTCCTATAATTTTTTACATGATTTCAGCAAAATAATCATTATTTTTATTTATTTACGGTTAGTTTAAGACAATTTCTGGGCCGAGCGCTGCTGCAAAAATCGTTCTCTAGGAATATACCGGGGCCGGACGCTGCGGTCACATGTTCAGCTGTGACTATGTGTAACATAGCTAGGTATATTCCTAGAGAACGATTTTTGGACCCCCCGTGCCCCCCCCCCC